GGCCGAGGCAGGCTGAGTCTGAGGCGAGGCCAGCCGAGGCAGGCTGAGGCTGAAGCTGAGGCAGGCTGAGGCTGAGGCTGTGGCTGTGGCTGAGGCTGAGGCAAGCTGCGGCTGAGGCAGGCTGAGGCTGAGGCTGATGCAGGCTGAGGCTGAGGCTGAGGCAGGCTGAGGCTGAGGCTGAGGCCGAGGCAGGCTGAGGCTGAGGCCGAGGCAAGCCGAGGCAGGCTGAGGCTGAGGCTGAGGCTGATGCTGAGGCTGAGGCTGAGGCTGAGGCTGAGGCTGAGGCAGGCTGAGGCTGAGGCAGGCTGAGGCTGAGGCCGAGGCAGGCTCAGGCCGAGACAGGCTGAGGCTGAGACTGAGGCTGAGGCTGAGGCCGAGGCAGGCCGAAGCTGAGACAAGGTGAGGCTGAATGGGGGGGGGGGAAGGGGGGGGGGAGGAGGGGAGGCTGAGGCAGGCTGAGGCCGAGGCAGGCTGAGGCCGAGGCAGGCTGAGGCTGGGGCTGAGGCAAGCCGAGGCAGGCTGAGGCTGAGGCTGAGGCTGAGGCTGAGGCAGGCTGATGCTGAGGCTGAGGCTGAGGCTGAGGCTGAGGCTGAGGCTGAGGCTGACGCAGGCTGAGGCCGAGGCGGGCTGAGGCTGAGGCTGACGCAGGCTGAGGCTAAGGCTGAGGCTGAGGCTGAGGCTGAAACTGAGGCAGGCTGAGGCATCCGTAGGAATCCATAGGAATTCTTAGGATTCCCTAGGAATCCTTTGGAATCCGTAGGCATCCTTAGGAATCCGTAGGCATAGTTAAGCATCCTCAGGAATCCTTAGGAATCCTTGGGATTCCTCAGGAATCCTTAGGAATCCCTAGGGATCCCTTGGAATCAGGATTCCCAAGGATTCCTCAGATTTCCTAAGGATTCCTATGGATTCCTGAGGATGCCTAAGGATGCCTTAGGAATCCCTAGGAATCCTTAGGATTCCGTTGGATCCTAAGGCCGTTGCCACTGCGACTGTCATTGCGAATGCAACTGCGACTGCGAGAACAGCAGAATTCTACAACTGGATTCTCACCTGAATCTTAAGGGGAATGCTTCAGATATGCTTATACACATCGCTGTTAGGTTGCTTTGCCGGGATAAGTTTTGAAACCGCCCCGCCCTCCATCCGTGAACCTTCTGCAAAGTTCAAAGCTCCATGGTCATGAATGATGAGGAAGTCTCAGGCGGAACGCCCGGCCCGCCCTTTCGACCAGCCTCTGGGTGCGACAGGGAGAAGTTCTGTAGAAGGAGAAGGCATGGAGGAGGAAGAGGACGAGGATGAGGAGGGGGAAATGGAGGAGGACGACGACGACTTTAGGACAGCGGACTCAAATCGAGACGGCCGCCTTTTCGGCCAAACGCTGTTTGCCTTTCAGAATCTGTTTCCGCTTACTTCAGCACCTTGTATGGTGGGGGTTCGCCACGTTGCGGGCCCATGCCGGGCGCTTCGTGGGAGCCCCGCGCTTGGGGGGTATAGCGAGGCTGCGCCACGTTGCTGCCGCCTCGTGGGCGCCTCGTGGGCGTCCCGCGCTTGGGGGGCATGTCTGTTGTTCGTCGCCTTGCCGCCTCGCGGGCGCGTCGCAGGCGCCACCCGCCTGGGGGTTATGGTCGGTTTTCGCAGCGTTGCCGCCGCCTGGGCGCCCCGCGTTGGGAGCTTACACACCATAGGCTTCACCACGCAGCTTGCGCCACAGAGCGTGCACCACACAGCTTACGCCGCACATTTTGCGCAATAGAGCTCACGGCACATAGCCTGCGCCCCACAGCTTCCACCTCCAGCATGCACAGCAGAACTTACACGACACAGCGCTCACCACAGCTTACACCGCATTTTCTTCACCTACATGGCACACGCCACACAGCTTGCACGACATAGCCTTCACCACAGCTTCCGCCGCATAACTGCCACCTCCAAAGTACAATAGCGCACTATTTTTGGCCCACCCTGGCTTCTAAAATTATACAAAAATGTGTTGACACACACGCACAGACACACATACACATACACATACATATATATATATATATATATATATATATATATATATATATACACATGTATATATATAAATATAAATATACGCATCTCTCTCTCTCTCTCTCTCCCGGGGGACAGGGACACGGGGTCCCGGCTCAGCAGCCTTGGTCCTCCATGGGGATGCCGGGCCGCCCAAACAGGCCCGCATGCTTTTTGGGGGCCCGGGAAGCGGCCAAGACGGCCCCCCAACGGCCCCGAATCGACCAAAGATCGCTCTTAGATGCCCAAGACGGCTCCAAGACAGCCCAAGAGGCCTCCAAGACGGCCCAAGAGGCCTCGAAGAAGCGCCCCAAGAAGGCTCCAAGAGGCCCAAACCTTTGATTTTTTCATAGGAAAACGTATATTTTTGCACACATGACTTTCCGGCCTTCACGGCGTTGAAGACGGTCCAACAGGCCCCCGAAACCGCCCAGAGAAGGCCCAAGAAGCTCCCAAGAGGCGCCCAAGACGGCCCAAGAGGGCGCCAAGACGGCCCAGGCGGCTCCCACGACAGCCCAAGAGGGCCCCAAGTCCGCCCCAAGAGGAGCCCAAGAGGGGGAGCCCGACCCAAGAAGGCCCCAGGAGGCTCCCAAGAGGCCCCAAGAGGCCCCCAAGAGGGCCCCAAGAGGCTTCCAAGAGGGCCCCAAGAGGCCCCCAAGAGGCCCAAACGAAGCCCCAGAGGGTCCAACACGGCGTCCCCCAAGAGGCTTCGAACCTGCCTCCAAGAAGCCCGCGAGAGGAGGAGGAAGAGGACGTTTCTTCCCCTCATCATCCTCCGCATTCTCCTCATCCCTCCTTCTCCTGTTCCTTCCTCCTCCTCGTCCCCCTCCTCCTCGTCCTGCTCCTGCTCCAACCTGTTCCATCAGTCTCCCCTTCATCCTCCTGATCCTCGTCATCACCCTCCTCCTGATCCTCCTCCTCCTCCTCCTCCTCCTCCTCCTGCTCTTCCCTCATCCTCCTCCTCCTCCTCCTCCTCTTCTCCTCCCTCATCCCTCCCCTTCCTGATATTCCTCTCAGTCTCCTCTTGCCTCATCCTCCCTCCTCCTCATCCTCCGTCCTCCCCCTCTTCCTCATCCTCCCTCCTCCTCCCTCCTCCCTCCTCCTCCTCCTGCTCCTGGTAGACAGACATCAAGGTTTAAGGGGGGCTGAGCCTGTCAGCGTGATCTTCGCTGTGCGGGGGTTCACGTTGATCTTTGTTGGGGTGGGGGAGCAGGATTTGTCCCCCCCCCCGGGGGCGCAACAAGCTAGCACCAGAGCGCGCACCTGGGAAGGGGTCCCTGCTGCACTCTTCATAACCCTCCTTTTCCTCCTTCGCCTCACGCACCTCTGCCTCCTCCTCGTCTGCTCCCCCCTTCATCGTGCTCCTCCTCTTCCTCCGCCTTTCCCCTCCTCCTTCTCCCTCCTGCTCCTCCTCCTCCTCCCTTTCCTCTTCCGCTTCTCTTCGTCTCCATTGTCCTCAACTTCCTCTTGATGTTCCTCTTCCTCCTCCTCCTATTCCATTTCGTTGTCCTCCTCTTTGAGCGGAAGGCATGGAATTCAGATTTCGTGGTCTTCTTTTTAGGCTCCTCTGGGAGCCACCTTGAGGCCGCCTTGGGCGCCTCTTGAGGCTTCACAGGCTCCCAAGAGAGCGCCCAGCAGCCCAAGAGGCTCCCAGAAGCCCAAGGGACTTCCAGCAGACGCCCATGAGGGCTTCTGGACGGCCAAGGACGCCCACAAGACGCTCCAAGAAAGCCTCCAGAAGGCACAACACGCTTTAAGTACGTTCCAAGAGAGCTCCAAGAGGCCCCCCAAGAGGCCCCAAGAGACGCAAAGTCCAGATTGTTGAATGTTATTCACGTTCCCGCCTTTCCGGCGTCCCGACGCTCCAAGACTGCCTCAAAGGCTCCCCCGTAGCTTGATTGGCTCAATTCGTGCAGCCTTGAAGCAGGACGAGAGGAGGGAAAGGAGGAGGAAGATGAAGAGCACGAGGGGGAATGCACGTGCAGTAATTGGGAGGAGAGAGAAAGAGGTAGGGCGTGCAGGGGCGGGAGCAGAGGCGCGATGAGGACGAGGAAGAGGAGGAGGCTGAGGGGGGCGATGAGGAAGAGGGGGAGGACGAGGACGAGGAGGAGGACGACGACGAAGACGACGACGACGACGATGCGGGAGGAGGAGGGGGAGGGGAGCGAAGCGAATGGAGGCTCTGCAACGGCCACATGCGGCGAACGCCCCAGCGCTGCCGCCCATCAGACGGACGAAAACGAACGCTGCAAAACTTAATACAACCATGACGCGCGAAGCGCGCGCGTGGTTTTCTAGTAGATAGACAGATATAGCGACAAACCTCCCGTCGTGATTTTTTCACAACACGAGGGCGTCTGGGTCGGCGCCAGGGTGGCGCCTGGAGCACGCCAGCGGTCCCCAAGGGGCCCCCAGAGTCCCCCAAGAAGCTTCCAAGAAGCCCCCCGAGAGGCCCCCAAGAGACGCTCAAGCGGCTCCCACGAATGCCGCGAGCGGCCCCTGTAGGGACTGCGTGATACTTTTTGCACGCCTCAAATCGGAGACACCTCCTCTACAGAAGATATGCACAACACTCTCCCCCTCACTCCCCCTCATCCTCTTACTCCTCCTGCCTCCTCCCCCTCTTCCTTACCCACCCCTCCCTCCTCTCCCCTGCTCCGCTTTCCTTCTCCCTCCCGTCTTCCTCCACTCTCATTCTCCTGCTCGCCTTCATTTCCTGCTCTCCCTCCTGTTCTCACTCCCCCTCCCCCTTTCCTCCTCCCTCCTCCCCCTCCTTCCTGCTATTCCCCTAAATCGCTGCATTCCCAGAGGAAAACGTGCATTTCAGCATGTACGACTGTCGGGCTTCCACAGCGTCCTCGACTGCCCAAACGGCCACCGAAAACCGCCCCAAGACGGTTCGTCGCCATTTTGTTCAAGCCATTTTTCTTGTTCCGTAACCTCCGTCCGCTTTCTGTTCCAGTATGGTTGTCGGACGACTCCCCGTGGTGGCATTGTTGGGCATTTTGCCCGCGGCACACAGCTGGCATTCTCTGCCATCTCCAAGGTTGCTGAGTTTTTTCGAGTCCAAGCCACATACACCAGAGCCTACGCCATGCGCGGATGATGATGCTGGTGCGATCGAGGTTGCAAAGGGCTTTGCCATGAAGATCAATGGCTGTGCTGACATGCGTGTCTATTGCGACGATCCGACGCATGGCAGTATTGCACGCCAGATGTGCCCTTTCACGTGTGGAGTCTGCCAGGTGGCAGGCTGCTTGGTGACCGATGGCACGGGTCGGAGTTCCGCGTACCCGTGTGCTTGCGGATCGAGGACATGCTTCACAAACGAACTCTGCACTTTAGCCACAAGTCAGTGCCACACGTGCGTGGATGACGACGCCGAGGCGATCAAAATTGCAAGCGGCCTGGGCCTGATCCTCAGTGGCTGTGCTGACGTGCAGTTCAATGGCGTCAATCTGGAGTGTGGAGTATGGAGTATCGATCTGCGCGGGGCCTGCCCCGCAACGTGTGGCCTGTGCAATGCATCGCGTGCGCAGTCGCGGCGCTCACCTGTTCTCTTGGTCGTCCTCGTTGGTGCTCTCATCTCACGCTTGGCCGTGGTGAAGCTCCTGTCAAGTCGTCCTGGCTTTCCTGGCGCCAGCGCCATATACAACGTCGCTGACGCCATTGTATATGTATAGGTATAGATATAGGTATATGTGTATGTACGTATGTGTTTGTATGTGTATGTGTATATGTGTGTTTGTGCATATGTATGTATGTATATATATATAGGTCCCAGCACGCAACATGAACCCCCCTTTTCCCTTGGAAGATGCCAAGGGAAAAGGGGGGCGGAAGGCGCGCGCTGCAACCGTAAAGGAAGAAGTGTGGCAGAAAGGTTGGTTGTGTGATGGAGAAGACAGGTGTGGAGTATCGGGTGGAGTGTTGGGGACGGAGGGTGTGGCGTACCGGATGGTGTGTAGGAGACGGAGGGACTTGAGTAGAAGTTGATTTTCATGTTCAGCTTGGGGAGGGAGCCTGTTGAGTATCACTGGATGGTGTGTTGGAGACGGAGGGAGTTGAGTAGAAGGTTATTTTCAAGTTCAGCTTGGGGAGGGAGCCTGTTGAGTATCGGGTGGTGTGTTGGAGACGAAGGGTGTTGAGTAGAAAGTTACTTTCAAGTTCAGCTTGGGGAGGGAGCCTGTGGAGTATCGAGTGGTGTGTTGGAGACGGAGGGTGTTGAGTACTGGATGGTGTGTTGGACACGAAGGGTGTTGAGTAGAAGGTTATTTTCAAGTTCAGCTTGGGGAGGGAGCCTGTGGAGTATCGGGTGGTGTGTTGGAGACGGAGGGTGTTGAGTACTGGATGGTGTGTCGGACACGAAGGGTGTTGAGTAGAAGGTTATTTTCAAGTTCAGCTTGGGGAGGGAGCCTGTGGAGTATCGGGTGGTTTGTTGGAGACGGAGGGTGTTGAGTACTGGATGGTTGGTTGGAGACGGAGGGAGTTGAGTAGAGGGGGTATTTTCAAGTTCAGCTTGGGGAGGGAGCCTGTTGAGTATCGGGTGGTGTGTTGGAGACGGGGGGTTGAGTACTGGATGGTGTGTTGGAGACAATTCAAAATTAGTTGAGAAAGTCTTCCAAAAATGAGCCTCAAAATGAAGTCCGAAAGTCGTAGTAATCATATCTGAATTCATATATAATCTGGAGAATGGGGGTTTCTCGGTGCGTGCGGAGGGCTATACATATATATATATATATGTGTGTGTGCATACATATACATCTATATCTGCCGGCGGAAGAGGATCGGGGCCGCCAGGAGTGTGCCTGCGCCCCCATGGGGGCTCCGGGGCTCACTCTTTGTTTTTTACACGGCTTCGGCGTTCCAGGGCCACCCCAGACCTCTTGTTGACTTTCGGACGGAGTCCCAAAGCCAGCCCCAGAGCGCTCCAAGACGGCCCACGACGCCTCCTACACCGCACCAAGACAGCCCCAGAGAGCTCCAAGCGGCCCCCACGACGGCCCAAGAGGGCCCCAAGACGGCACAAGAGGCACCGAAAACGGTCCAAAGGAGTTCCGACACGGACCCCGAGAGGTGAAAAAAGAAGCTCACTGAGGCCCTCAACATGCCCAGGCCGCCCCCAGAGGCCATAAAAGGCCCCGATATAGACCAAAACATACCCCAAGAGGCTTGACAAACTGCGTCTCACCCTGCTTTTCGTCCGCCTTATAACCTTCCTGCTCCTCTTTTCTTTTGGTTGTCGAGCTCTCTCCCGGTCTCAGGGAATATAAATAGATTCCCGGAACTGCTAGGAACAGCATTCTTCTAGAATTAGTTTGCTGTTCTTCGCCGCCCTGCTCCATCGTCATTCCCTGATCCTCCGCCTGCTGCGGCTGCTCTTCATGCTACTCCCGCACCTCCCCCTTCCCCCTCCTCCCGCTCCCCTTCTCCTCCTTCTCACCCCCCTGCGTGTGGAGCTCTCTCCCGGTCTCTCGAAATATGTTCCCGGAACGCCTGCCGGGAACATAATTTCTTTGCTTGCGTTCGAGTGATTCTTTTGTTCTTCGCCACCCTGCCCCTTCGTCTTTCTTCCCATGTCCTCCTCCTGCTGCGGCTGCTCTTCATGCTACTCCTGCACCTCCCCCTGTCCTTCTTCCACCTCCTCCTGCTCCCCCTGAACCTCCCTTCCTCCCGCTCCCCTTCTTCTCCTCCTCACCCTCCTTCCCTTCCGCCTACTCCTTATGTCCTGCTCGTCCTGCTCCTCCTCCTCTTCCTGCCGCTCACCTTGTCCTGCGTGTCTGTCCTCCTCCTTTTCATCCTCCAGCTCCTCCCCCTCCTCTTCCCCTTCCTCCTCCCTCTCCTCCTCCTTCTCCTCCTCCTCCTTCTCGAGATTCCTCCTCCTGCTCTAGCCCTCCTCCTCGTTCCTGTCCTCCTCCTCCTTCTCGGGCTCCTCCTCCTGCTGTCACGAAATATGTTCTCGGGAAGCTTCCCGGGAATACAATTCCGCGTGCCTCCCTTTCTCCACCTCGCCGATATGATCCTCCTTCTCGTTCCCCCCTTCTTCTTTCTCGGGCTCCTCCTCCTCCTGTCGCGCAAGATGTTCCCAGGGAGACTCGTGGGAACGTAAGTCCCATCCCTTTGCTCAAGCGCCTGACCCCTCCTTGGCGGCCCTTCCCCCTCCTCCTCCTCCTCCTTCCTCTGATCCTTCTCCTCTGGCTGCTCTTCCTCCTATTCCTGTTCCTCTCCCTCTTCTTCCTCCGCCTCCTCGTGCTCCCCCTCGACTTCTCCCTCTCTCCCCCTTGCTTCTGCCGCGTGCCCCTCCTCGTCACTCCGCGGGTCGCGGGGCCGAAGAGTCTCGGAAGCAGATGGGTCGCGGGGCCGCGGTTGAGGATCTTCGACCCTAGAGGTCAGGAGCGCCCAGGGGCCGAAGGATTCGGAGGACTCCTGGGGCCGACTTCAAGGGTCGTGGGGCCTGCGGTTCCCAGGGGCATCCGGACCGGGGGGGGCGCCCGGATCGGGAGGCGCCCGGACCAGGGAAGGGGGGGGGGAGGAGGAGGAAGGGCAGAGGATATTGAGGAGGGGGAGGAGGAGGGGGAGGAAAAGGAGGAGAGGGAAGAGGAGGAGGAGGAGAAGAACGTGTAGGAGAATCAGAAGCAAATGAGGGAGGAGGAGGTGGTGGAGGAGAAGGAAGGGAACTAAGGAAACGGAGGAAAGAGACAGGCGAGGAGGAGGAGGAGGAGGAAGAGGACGAAGGAGGAGGAAGAAGAGAAGAAGGATGGGGGGAAGGAGGAGGAGGAGGAGGAGAAGGACGTGACAAATACATGTAAATATTCCCATAAGAAAAGGGCTGCCTCGATACTTCTGCCAGGGCCTTGCCGTGATCTCGGCTAGAACCAAAGCGCGCGCGACGCGCGCGCGATGGTTCTAGTATATATATATATATATACACATACATACATACATACATACATACATACATACATACATACATACATACATACAAACATATATATATATATATGTATATATATATACATATACATACATATACATACATACATAACGGCGCGCCAGGCCCGGGGGCCGAGGGCGGAACCTCGACCGCAAATGTGGGCCCCTGAACCCGGGCCCGCCTCTGGGAGGCCTACAACCGCCGTGGGGGGCCCTAAGACAGCAATCCCGGCGGCCCAGACGGTCTCGAGACACCCCCAAGACGCTGTCCAGGGGTCTCTGGCGACGCACGACGCGTTTGAAACTGCCCCGGAGGCCCCCAAGACGCCCCGAGAGGCCTTTGAGATGCCGCCCGAGAGCGCCCCGAGAGGGCAAAATCTTTGGTCTTCATTTTTACAGTTTTTTTGTTGGCGCCCTCGCTGTTTCGCGCTTCCGGCGCTAAGGCACCGCCAAAGAGGCCCCCAAGAGGGCCCCGAGACGGCACAAGAACCGCCCAAGACGGCGCAAGAGGGCCCCAAGAAGGCCCCAAGAGGGGCCCAACAGAGGGAACGCGATCTGAAAAACCAAGCTCTCTGCCCCGTGGACGCGAGGAGGAGGAGGAGGGACGTGGAACCCGCTTATTTTTATATGGTTTTGATGAGCCAGTAACCCAGTCGTGCATTGGGCGCAACGCACGACGCCACACAGCTTTGCATGCCTTTGTCTGTACGAAGGCGCACTGGCCAAGACAACCAGCAGGATGCGTCGCTTGGTGTCTGCGCACTGTTAGCTTAAGCGGCCGAGCTTGCTTCCATGACGTGTCCAGCTTTCCGCATTAGTGGGGCTTGTTTTCCTCATGCGCAGAGTTTCTGTGCCACTTCTTGTGCCGTAGAGTGAGCTGGCACTTGTGGCTCACATTGGCAGCGAACCTCGATGTTTTGTCATCGATCCTCGATCAATCATTCGCTCTTTCGAGCAGGGCGTCCACCCTGAGGAGTCCACATGGTGCGCCTCAAAGCAGGTCATGGACCTCATGGGCGACTAACTACTGCTGCTGCTGCTGCTGCTGCTACTACTACTACTACTACTACTACTACTACTACTACTACTACTACTACTACTACTAATATTACTACTACTACTACTCCTACTACTTCCACTACTGCTACTACTACTACTACTACTACTACTACTACTACTACTACTAACTTACTAACTACTACTACTACGACTACAACTACTACTACTACTACTACTACTACTAACCTACTACTACTAACCTAACTACTACTACTACTAATACTACTACTACTACTACTACTAACTACTGCTACTACTACTACTCTACTACTACTACTACTACTACTACTACTAACTACTACTTACTACTACTACTACTACTACTACTACTACTACGACTACTACTACTACTACTACTACACTACTACTACTACTACTACTACTACGAATACTACTACTACGGCCTACTACTACTACTACTGCTACTACTACTAACTACTACTACTACTACTACTACTACTACACTGACTACTAACTAACTAAACTACTAACTACTGACTACTACTACTACTACTACTACTACTACTTACTACTACTACTACTAATACTAATACTGCCTGCTGCTGCTGCTACTCCTACTGCTACTGCTACTACTACTACTACTACTACTACTACTATACCTACTACTACTAACCACTACCATACCACTACTAACTACTCTAACTACTACTACTACTACTACTAGTACTAC